ATCAAAGACAATATACTATCAATCAAATAAAACTGCATTAAGCAAAAATAATATCTTTTAATAGACCATATTTTTTCTCCTATGAGAGATATTTTCTCATGAATTTCATGGAAGTGTCCGGAAATTTTTAGAAAAAATTACAAAAGATAAATTAGAATATGTTTGCTGATTCACCTCAGTTATAACAGCCTTTTCAATACGTGCAAGTATATTTTAACATATACACATACGAGCGAACGTTGGAACGAATCTTATTATAAACTCCGCAGGTGCAAGAAACCTGAGTGGGCTTACATATATATCAGAAGCTGGCGTTTGTATACAATCCACCATCTCTAAAATGGTGTTCAAATTGATGTGGTCATTAATTAGCAAGGGATATCTTGGTTCCTAACGTTTTCTTCTACCTAGATGCCAAAATGAATGTGAGTGCGGCGGGTGGTACGGCATAATACTATCGCCGAGTAAGATTACCCATCTTTATAGGCGTGCAAGGAATTCGTATAAGCATTTTTTTATTCACGAAGTGATTTCATTTTGCGAGAAAAGTGTCGCTTTTTCTAATTAATGTTATCATGAAGATGTAAATGTTTTTGAAGAAGATGCGGCAACAAAATTATTGGTGTATGATCAACGCAAAGCTGTTTATCGTTATAAAGATTACAAATAGCTACAGCTTGAAGTACATTTTAGAAAAACATTTTATTAACTTGAAATTGGTTAACTGCAAAAGTTCAATACTGTCTTCTTCTTTATCGTAGAAAAAATATCAATCGCCAATCAGATGTCTAATTCGGATTTACTGTATTCAATGATCAGGTAGCAGTACGTACGAGCACGACATTGTTAGTAAGCTAGCCATGATATTAAATAAGAGTTCATAGCCTGGAGGATCAGATGATTTTTTTCTATATTTGTCGAGCGTGAATATTTCACACATCATGCTTGACTTCATTTTGTGCATGCTCAATTTCAATGCATGTGATTTATAATATTAGTTATGTATCAGTAATTTACTGGACCATACGTACAGCACTCGTCTCCCGGTATGCTAACAACTTTTTTTTAATGAGTGCGCATTCGATTACAAGTTCTTGAAACCATGAATTATTACACTTATAATAATATATAGATATATAAATTTACATGCGGAGAAATTAAGTAAACAAGCGAAGAAAATATCGATAAAAATTAATATTCCTATGAATCGAGGTTTGTTGTCGTTGCTGTTTTGTATACAGTACAAAAGTCACGTAGTAAATTCTTAATAATTTTCTAGACTACACTTTTTTTCAAGATTTTAATTTGATAAATATTTAATTAATTTTTATTTTTTAATGATAATTCCTGCCGAGTGCAGGAATTTAAGCAATTTTTTTGTTTCTCAAGAATGTTATGGAAATTTCTCAATGTTTCAACACAAGCAACTTCAAGACACACATTTGAAATACGAGATGATAATATTTTTAACAAGTTTGAAAATATTTGAATATTATACATAAGCGATGGTTCGCAAAAAATGTATAGTAAGCTTTTCAGTGGACAAGCAAACTGTAAATAATTACTATGCAAACAATAGTTAAACGCGAAATCGACGCGTGCATACAGACATATGAGCTTGTGAGTGCAAAGATGCGTGAGTGCCATATTGTAACAAATAAAATCTCAATCAAATAATTTATAACCTTTTTAATATTTCCGGACGATGAGTGAGATTTTTTCACAAAAGCGTATTGTACTTTAAATTTTATCATACCGAAAGTTAAAAATACAATTATAGAAGTTTCTGATCTCACAATAATAGCTAATATTATCTGACTTCCTAAGCACGAGAGACATATAACTTTAATTAATGTCAGTTGTCACCGATAATACGTTCACATTTGATTTAAAATAGTGAAGACCATGAGCATTTTTAAAATAAACATAAATGTGTGGATAAAATTTCATTTCTTTTGTCATGAATACAAATGAATGTTGCATAACGATTAAATTTAACGAGATTTGGCAGCTGTGCTTATCTGTATACTACCGTGCAGCAGATTTGGTAAAATAAACAAACAAACTGTACATTATCTAGATGATACAGCTATAATTAACTTTTGATACTGCAGGTATGATAATAAAATAACAAAAGAAGAGTCTGTCAAAACATCAATCGTTATTACCATCGTAACATGACCAGTTGAGTCGATAATGAGGATCGAAAATCAGCGCCGCTCAGAGAGCGAATAAAATAGTTGTAACCTGTAACTATATGTCGACGGGCACAGCACATATCCTGCCGAGCGTTAACAGACGACCGCCTGTACTGTATCATAAAGTTTACTGATAATATGCATATATAGTCTCGCGCTCATCGAGTTACATAGTACTTGCCTAACGGATATTAAATCAGTCGAAGAAAATGCACGGATTGGCAGATCGCCCGTCGAGCTATCGTTCGGGTGCGCATTTCCAATAGGCTAATAGAAGCTTGCACGTGCCTCGCGGAAATGAATAATTGCGGCAATCTTTCGATAATGTCTACATAAATTATTGCATTGAAACATATCACTACTGATCAAAAAAGTAACTGACTACTGTATTCGATTAAAAATTCTCTCAGTTTTCCGATGGTATTATTAGATTTTCACAAATATCCAATTTTCACCTAGAAAATCGCTATCAAACATTGAGGGTTGTATATGTCGAAAAATTCAGTACGGAAAAAGTGAACTTTTTGGTTTATTTTTGATTTTTCTTTATAAAAATTGAATATTTCGGAAAATCTGATATCACCATCGGAAAGCTGAGGAAATTTCCTATCAAAAGCATATCTTTATTTACTTTTTCCGTCGAATTAAAATGTTATACAAGTGAATTTCTTTTACAATGTTCGCTGTTTTCTGATCCCGAGCTGTTTTCAGCGCGGTCGCGCGGTTTTCAGCGTTGCGCGGCTCGCTACAATCGACATTTGCTCCTAATTAAACTGAAAAAATAAATGAAAATAGGCATTCGATAGGAAATTTACTCAGCTTTCTAATGGTGATATCAGATTTTCCGAAATATTCAATTTTTATAAGGAAAAATCAAAAATAAACCAAAAAGTTCACTTTTACCATACTGAATTTTTCGACATATACAGCCCTCAATGTTTGATGGCGATGTTCTCGGTGAAAATGGGATATTTCTGAAAATCTAATAATACCATCGGAAAGCTGAGAAAATTTCCTATCGATTACAGTAATCAGTTACTTTTTTTAGATGAGTTTTGATACTTTTCCAACGACTTGGAAATCGAGTAACAAGTCGTATTTGCGTGAAAAGATGACTTTTCGGCGTCCAAAACACAAAATTGACCACAAAAAAATTACCTATTTTCAAATTTCATGTTCACGCATTTTTTCTTACTCCTAGGACCCCTAGAAACAATTTGCGGGGGTCCAAACCGCTGGGCACCCAAAAAAAATTTCACCTTTCTTTGTTAACGAAACGGCATTTTATTTTGGGATTTGACCCTATGTGCATGATCGTGTACTGTATTAATAATAAGCTGGTGAACGCATAAAGTCGACCTTACTGTATATGAAAACTCACACGCATATTTTTTTAATCGATCTGAATATACGTTGTGGCACAAAATTAGCCCAGCCTTCTAAATTGCATGTCCTTAACACGGATTTTGATATTTGACGCGATGCTAAAGTCAGGATGCAAATAAAAATTTTCGTCGAAAGTCGATAAAAAATATTCAGTGAGGATCTTATAAATTTAAAAAAAATGTTTATTTTACATTTACTTTGGCATTTTCTTAAGGGGACCGACCTGTGTTAAAAGCTTAAATTTAGCTTCAGCAAAAAATAGCTATATAAATCGAAATAGTAGACATTTTTTTTTGTGATAGTAAAATATGTTCATTCTACACCAGATTGACCAAAAAAAACTTCTACCCAAGCTCTGAAATACCAATTACATCACTTTTTTCATAAGACGAAATATTGTGCTATAAATCACTTGCCACATGATCTTGAAAAGAGTTTTTCATCAATATTGATCAATGGGATCTCAAAATCTTCAGAAAAGTACCCTCATCCACCTAAGCGGATCAGAATTTTGAAAAATTGCGTACAACTTTATATACACGTCAAAATGTGCCAATTTTTGAGAAAATTAGTATTTTATCAACACTAGAAGCCATATTAAAGCTCTTGGAAGAAAAACAAACTTTTTTTTTCAAATTCTGCTCCGCTTAAGTGGATGAGGGTACTTTTCTGAAGATTTTGAGACCGCATAGATCAATATTGATGAAAAGCTCACGTCAGAATCGCGTGGCAAGTGAATCCTATTATAATATTTAGTATTATGAAAAAATAAGCGTAATTGGCATTTCAGAGCTTGGATAGAAGTTTTTTTTGGTCAATCAGGTGTCTAATGAACAAATTTTTTTATCACAAAAAAAGTCTAATATTTCGATTTATATAGCTATTTTTTGAATTTAAGCTTTTAACACAGGTCGGTCCCCTTAATTACGATACGATACGATAAATACCTTTGTCTTACTGTAGATAATATAGCACTTTTCATTGAATGTGTACTTGTTACTAAATGTCATAAATTATAGAACATACAAAACACGGTACATTTTGGCGCTTTATAAGATCGTATGGAAGGCTTGATGTATACGTAGCAAAGGTGCATATACTGGACGATGCAACAAAAATGACATTGTCGCCTTTAGACGGTATTCGCAGTGCGAAATACGCTTGTATATATAGTATCAGTACGTCAGTATCCAAAGCACACAAGCTTGTTTGAATAGCAACGACGAGACTTGGCGTTCATATACCAGGCGAGAATAATTCTGGGAGAGAAATCGACAAAGCACACGATGATGGCGACTGTGACTGAGCTTCTTTTGAATAAACGGCGTTGATGTTGATTTGCACCTTTGGGCAAAGAAGGGAGATTACGACAAGTTTGGGTGGATTTAGGTCGAAGTCAGCTAAGATATGAACATATCTGCTTCAATACGTTTATTTTTCATTATAAATCCATTAACATTATTAAATTCTAACGACCCATTCAAATATCAATGTATTTTAAAATTTTGTCAAAATTATCTGACATCACAACGTTGTAACAATCATTAATTCCAATTTGTTAGTTCACGTGCAGTTAGTACAATAACGTCATTGAAAAATTTCCTTTTTATGATTGTTTGAGTCATCATTACGTCACTTATCTTTATTTAACACGTTTAAAATGAAAAAATTCGGAAAGATGTCAAAAAATTCTAACTTATTTTCATATGTACTTAATTAAAGTAAATCTTATTCGATTGGCGGTTTAATCAATGCTCATTGTTTTATAAAATGTATTGAATGTACAGCTGAGATTAAAGATTTTGACAGTTTATACAAATCAATCATCTGATCGTCAAACAATATTTTTTTTAATTTTTCTGAGTCTTTGCAGGTTGAATATCCAATGATTCAGTAGCAACAGATCCAGGGGCAACATTAATCACGGAATTGGCTGATTGATAATATTCTTCTGTAAAATAATATACAAAATGTTCAGTAAAAATCTATTAATTATCAAAAAAAGCTTTTTAAAAAAAAAAGGCATACCCGTATCAACTTCGCGTTTTCCTCTCAAGCTATAGTGAGCTCTAGATCCTACAACTCGGCTGCCCCGTACTGAACTGCCTCGATGAATTAAAGAGCTACTTCTATGAGAAGATCCATATATTGGAGTAATATGACTTGGTTGAATTTGGCTAATAAGGTGTGGACGTGAAAACCCAGGATGTAACACTGAGTGTGGACGCGAAACTACAGGATGTACAGATGTGTGCGGATAAAGAGCAACCGATGAATTGTAAGCTCTAGAGTTCAAAACAGGTTGTCGTCTATAATATCTATAATCATAAGGCGAGTAAGCACTGCAACCTACAAAAAATTCTTTGTTTGTTTAACAAAAACTAGGGACATAAAAATGACAAAAGCAAGATGTAAAATTCAATACTTACCTAGAACTAAAAATGCAAATAGCACGACACATTTCATTTTGCCTCTGAAAACATTTTAAATCATGAAGACATATGCTCAATATTTTTCATCCTCCATGATGTAATTTATTTTTTTAAATAAATACATCAAAACTATAGTATTTTATCAAATAACTTCAAGAAAATCCTACATTTTTGCAATGAATTTCGGCAATATAAAAAACATCGTTATAATTTTTGACACTAAATACTCACAGATGAATTAACTCTTGTTTAAAAAAAAACGTATTTATTAACGGAACGACTTTAAAAACGCGACACTTGTGGTAGCGTTCTGTCAACGATACAAAGCCAACTATGCTATCTTGAACTTAGTCCATTTAGCGTAATCATATGTAATACATTTACAGCTGGGACTGTGTGTATTTCCAGACTCTTATCAGATAAATTTGTGAATCAATGATTCATTCTTCGGTTAAAACTGTTGCTTACAACAAAAGAGATGAATTTTGCGATCATTTCCTGGTTTTTATTCAAAAAAGTTTTTATTGGGTTGGGTTTGAAAATGTTTTTTAAGAATGAGTATCATGCAACTTGTCTTATGTGGTTAAGCATCATTTAATATTACAAACCTTGAACAATTTTTTAATTTATTTGCGAGTTACCTCAAAAAAAATGAAATTTCGAAAACAATTACGAGTATATAATGAATTTACTGTCTGAAAAGATCCAACTAGTACCAAAAATAATAAAAAGTAATTCATCTATTGTAAACATGTTCTTTATTGTAGAATAAAACAGAGTCACTCGACCAGTGATTGAAAGGTTTAGAAAAATTCCGCTTTTAAGTAGCTTGGATATGTTACCGGCAAAACCCGTTTTTAGGCAAAAGTGACTTTTGCCTAGGCAAAAACAAAAATGCCTAAAATTTTAGGCAAAACTCGTAATGCCTAAAAAAGTATAGGAAATTCCTAAATTTCTTAGGCAAAACCTGTAATGCCTAAGCAATTTTAGGCAAAACCCGCAATGCCTAAATAATTTTAGGCATTACTGTAAACACGTTAGTATACGACTAGTCAGCATCCAAGCCGGACGTATTTGTTAGTTTTGTTTTGGATATAACCCAATACGGATAGCAAGCGTGCGTATACTCTCACTAGTTGAAAGAAAAAATGGAAACTGAAACCAGTAATTGGAAAGAGCAGTTCCTCGCCGAGGCTAGAAGAAAAGAGCATTATAAAGTTCTTTCAATGGCACAGATTGAAGAAATTATGAAAGACAAGCTAATCGGAAAAGTCACGTCAAAAAAATCTTCTCAGCAAATAAGACGTGCAAAACGATTTGATGTATTAGAAGTATGATGATTGCGAATAAGCAATCTACGAGTGGAGGACAAGGCTTCTTCAAATACACTTGCAAAACCGCTTGCAAGATAAAGATATGCATGTGCCGAAAGTTGCTGTAACAAATAATAACAAATTATTTAACTGCTTTGACAAAGCTTAACTTAAAGTGAGCTTGGACTTTTGTACTTAAATAAATGCGTATTTTTTCACTTTACATTAATTTTTTACTTAAAATTATTAGCTTACAGTAATGCCTAAAATTTTTTAGGCATTGCGGGTTTTGCCTAAAAAATTGTAGGCATTGCGGGTAATGCCTAAGATTTAGGAAGTTCACATATTTCTGCGGGTTTTGCCTAAAATTTTAGGCATTTTTGTTTTTGCCTAGGCAAAAGTCACTTTTGCCTAAAAGCGGGTTTTGTCGGTAACAGATACATGTTTTTAGTCAATTTTAGGTAATCGAACCAATAGTCTGTCAAAGTTTATACCTTCCTCTACCTATTAGAATTTTTACAGAATTTTCAATTGAGTTTTTCATTTATAAAAGTTCATGAAAATGAAAAAAAAACGTGCTTTGCCAGTGAATGAAACATTCGATCCAGTAAATGAAAGCCACGAAACCAGTAAATTAATGTACAAATATAAGCATACGTTGTTTTGATAATCAATACACGGAGAGAAACACTATATTAAATAACAACACATTCGCAAGTAAAAATTACTATATTCGCTAGTTTCATTATAAATTTATCATCCAAATCAACCTCTTTATTGACATATTGCCGTGATTAAAATAAGGAGTAGAGAAGAACCATTTTACAAACATTTTAAGACCCCATAGATGAGGATTGGTTCAAAACTCCAATCAAAATATGCTTATATTTGTACTTTCATTTACTGGGCAAGTGCGAACTATTCGCCACACCAGTAAATGAAAGTTGAAAAAGAGTGAAATTTTCTAATTAAAATTTAATTTTTCACTGGAAATGCAATTGTTTAACATATAAATGACAGTTTTAAAGATAACTAGTCCGTTATAAAAGGTTTCGAGCTGCTCATTCTTTTACAGTGGATCTTACAAATTTTAACGATCTTCAGCGATTATGTAAAACAGGACCGTATTTTACGGCTCAGCGAACGAGATATTGATTCTGGACCTGATAACCATTCGAATAGTTAGCAATAATACCCAAGAATAGCATAAAAATTCGTCGTTCATGAATAATGTCGTTATCAATTAATAATTTTTATTTAAAAAAGTTCTTTCATTCACTGGTATGCTTTCAATCACTGGGTAGGTGACTCTATATGAATATGTATAAATAATAAACAATTTTTTTTTTCATATTTGATTGCAAAAAACAAATAATTAAAAAAGGTTCGCTAATGTTGAATAAGCAATACATTTTTTGTATTTACCACATTACAAAAAGTACATAAAAATGGGAAATTTGATTCGATTATTTATAAACTAAGATAAGCATAGTAAAATATTTTCCTATAGTAGAACCGTTATACCATACAGTAGTCCGAAAAAGTTGGATAAAAAAGGCACGGTATAAAGTAATGTCTTAGCATGTGTTAGTATGGATATCTGTACGTACATAAGCAAATTCAAGCGAAGCTAGGAGAAAAGACTATCAGAGACATTTATCGCAGACAGCGGATAGGCTTTTATACGTAGACTACGGCGATGCCGACGAAGACCCATGTCTCGTTGGATCGAGGAAGATGCGCACACACCGGGTCGCAGTACCGCTCATGTCGCTGACCTTTATCTTTCTCTTCTTCTTTGTGTCTCTTTCTTTCCCTTTATAATATGTATTCTTTACTAATTTTTTACATACGAGCATTTTAGTTGTATATATAGGACTTGTTTCTTTTTCGATCTTGACTTTGTACGTTAAGCATGCTTCGCTTACATACAAACTCTCAATTTTATTGATTTATAGCCAATAAAGCGCGCTGTCGAGAAAATTAGCGGTGTATAATGCAGCGCGTGAGCATACAAGTAAACATTTTCGTTACAATTTGCATGTAAGAGGCTTTTATAATAATAGAGCTTTTGCTGACGTCGAACAAGAGAGCTCATTTTGGCATACATATACAACTATATAAATGTATTTAGCGAAGAGAATTGATAATGATTTTCTCAAAAAATACACAAAGAGCAACATGCAGAACATTTATATTTAATATTCAATGATTTCGAGGAATTAAGATGCGCTGCACTATTTCAGTGAAAAGGTAATATATTTTTCTTTGTACGCTGCTCGAAAGTACGCATTTTCGTGTTCGAAAATGGGAGCGAAAGTGTGCTTTTTACTCCCTTCGTATGCATGCGAAAGTTTTTTCTCTGTTCGGTTCCATGGCAACGTAATAATAACCTACGTTTAATATTGAATGTCTACTATTGTTTATCCATTTACATAAACGTTATTTTGAAAAGTAAACGATGAGTTTGAACGAATTTTCGTCGTCGGAAGAGTCGGAAAATGAGGAGGAAATTATCAGGAATTTTGATGAAGAGGCTGGCTTGATAATTTCGAGAGACACTCTACCAGAAAAATCAGCCGATAGATACAATTTGGCTTATGAAAATTATAGGACATGGTTAGTAAACAATGAGAAATGTTTATCAAAGTCACCCGAAAAAAATTTGATCGTGTACTTCAAAGAATTAAGTAAAAAATTGAAGCCTCCAACTCTCTGGAGCATGTGGTCCATGTTAAAAACTACATTGAAGGCCAAAGAGGATTTAGATATATCGCAATTTTTAAATTTAAAAGTGCAATTAAAAAATAATTCCAAAGGCTACAAGCCGAAAAAATCAGCCGTTTTGACATGGACAAACGTGCTTGATTTCATCAACAATGCTCCTGATCTCAATTACTTGGTTTCAAAGGTTAGCACGATTATTTATTTATTTTTTAAGTTTTTTATCATTATTGTTATTATTATCTTATTATGATAAATAAATTACAGTGCATTCTCATTTTCGGTGTTTGTGGAGCGCTCCGATGTGACGAAATCGTAAAATTAACAGTGGAAAATGTTAAAGATGCAATGAATACAAAAATATTCAATGTAAGCGTCAAAAATACGAAAAATGAAGTAGATCGTGAATTCATCATCGGAGAACCATATTATTCCATTGTAAAAAAATATATAGCATTGAGGCCTGCAGGAAATTTTAGTGATCGATTTTTTATTAATTATACGAATGGAAAGTGTACCCGTCAACCCATTGGCAAAAATAAGATTGGTGGAACACCGGAAATGATTGCCATCTTTTTAGCACTGGAAAATCCAAAAAATTATACTGGGCACTGTTTTCGAAGAACAGGAGCAACGCTCTTATCTGACTCTGGTGCAGGAATGATTATGGTCAAACAACTGGGAGGCTGGAAGTCCGATTCAGTTGCTCAAGGCTATATTGATAATTCAATGAGCACTAAAAATAGAATTTTCAAAAACATCACGCAAGCAAGTCTATCGAATAATAATAATAATGTCTCTCATGCATCAAGTTCTAGGCAACAGTTAAACGATATATATTCAAGACCGTCAACTAGTAAGGGTTTGAAATTTACACCAATTATTCCAAAACCACCAGCTAGTACGAAACCTGTACTTGAAACCGTGAGGACAGAAGCAGAATCGGAGATTGCGGGTGTTGAAATTTTTGAAGAAGATTTTTTGGACATTATTGAGAAGGATAAAGGTTTTATTGAAAAAGAAAATGTTTCTGAATTTCCAGAATCGTCATCATTTTCTACAGCTCGTGGAAAAAAAATTCCATTGCAAGAAGTAAAATCTTCTAAAAATACATCTTTTCTTTTGAAAAAACCAATATCCGCTCATTTTAATGTACCTAAGCCTGCCGCCACACCACTGAAAAGAGTAAATGATTC